GGGTGAGGGTGTGGGTGGGTGGGTTGGTGTTTGTGTGTTTGTGTGTTTGTGTGTTTGTGTGTTTGTGTGTGTGTGTGGGTGTGTGGGTGTTTGTGTGTTTGTGTGTGTGTGACAACCGCACTGCTGCGGCCACAACAGAATGGTCTCGTCATTTCAAGAGTTGCATGTTTCATTGAGTCATGAAGGATGAGAGAGCATTGAAGTTTCTTGAAGATTCTTGATTTCTGACATGATACATGAAGAGCTTCAGTGCATCACAGGGAGGTGCAGAGCACAGTGGAAACTGCGCCCAACGAAGCTATCCACTGATGCTGGAAGCAGGGTCTGATCAACCCTGTGTACCTGTGACAAGAAGTGATATGTTGATCTTCGCACTCGCTGTACATTGCTGCCATACTCGTTGTTGTACTTCCCGAAGGTACCCCAAGGTCAATGAGTCCACAAAGAATGTCTAGCACCAGTATGCGTTTCGAATGTCAAGACCATCTCGTATCAAGTATGACATTACGCATCTACATTCCTTTCCACGAGAGTGACACACATACCAGTGTGTACCCCTATGGGGTTGCCTGTGAGCCCGGATGTGCCGCGGGTGAGCCTTGTCCCACGAGAGGTTTATCCAGAGCAAGGCTCTTGAGCCACAGGAAGGCCTGGAACCACCGGCCAGAAATAGTCACTCTCAAGGTATTACTGGCAGGAGTGCTTCATGCATTCCTTCTTCATCACGAATTACCAGCACTCGCGAACTTCCAGTATTAGGCCGGGCCTTGGTAGGTTGGTTACAGGATCCAGTATGACATCGCTCGACACTCGAAGCTCTTCTCGACTTATCCCTCCTTCTCTCTCCCAGCCTCATTCACATCTCCGTGCAGCAGTTGACTTGTGTCGTTGCCTTTGGATTGTGTACCTGAGGGAACCTTTCAGACGGTAGAGACATGCATCCCTTTCTCGCACCTCCTTTGGTAGTTCTGGAGCTTGCTTTCTGATGTTGCAAGCCAATGACCGTTGGCTTACATGTCTCTGTGTAAGATCAAGCTATGTGCTGCTTTCTTCAAGCATCAACTTCACATGTCAGTGCATTTCAATGCCAATTCAGGTCTTGGATACGAAAGTTCATTTACTTGAATTGACATGCTCATGCCTCTTGCGACAGCCATGCCGCAGCAGTCTCCACATAGGGGACGTGATCCCGACGACGCAGGAGACACCGCCGTCACAGCACCTCCACTCAAGCTCTGCAACATCGTTTGCAACGACGGAAACGTACAGATGTCTCAAGTAATACTGCAGCTGCACCTTCGTCAGGTTCTATGCAAACTTCGGGCACAGATAAGCAAGATTGGCAGGGATCACAACAGTGGCAGCAGGATCACTGGCAACTGGCAACAAGATCACTGGCAGCAGGACCAGTGGCAGTATCACTGGAACAAAGATCAGTGGAAGAGTTGGAGTCAACAGGATCATCGCTCGTGGACCGATGACAGCTCTTGGCAGAAATGGTCAGACCAAGGATGGCACCAAGGTTCGTGGCAGAGCAAAGATTCGTGGAAGGCCAAGAAGAAAGACAAAGCTTGGGCCAATCCTTCACAGACTGCACCTGCACCATCTCAGCCGACTATGCCGACAGCAGGGACAGCAGCTCCGCCACCTCAGCCTGCTCCCTCCCTTGTCCTCATCCTCCACCTCCTCCTCTCCCTTCTCTTCTTCCTGTTCCTCCTCCTCCTTCTCTTCCTCCTCCTCCTCCTTTTCCTTTCCCTCCTCCTCTCCCTTCTCTTCTTCCCGTTCCTCCTTTCCCCCTGCTCTTCCTGCGCAGTACTCCACTCCTCCCGTTCCTGCTCCACCTGCCAAGTTTGGAAACGTCGGTGGTAACTCACAACAGGTGATTCCTCCACCGGGCACCATGTGCTTGTCGGCTAAAGCAGCAGCTGCTACCCCACCTTCCGCTGTTCCTAAACATGCAGGCAAAGATCGACGCTACCAACCGTACCAGCGCAAACCGACTCCATCTATGACACAGGAGTTGATGGAAAGTGCACGCACTGTGTTAGCCACTCGTAAGATTCGCAGCTTTGCAGAGTTGACAGCGCATGAGCGTCCTCAACCTGATCATTTCTCTGACTCCGATGCTCAAGATTTGTATGCAGGCATTCATCGACTTGATCCGAAATTTCCTCTCCAGACCAGACAAATGATTGCTGACATTATTTATGGATCTGGCAATTCGTCGATGTTTCTCTTGGACAAGATGTCCATCTTCGACTGTGATCGCATTTACCGAATTTTGCTGATACCGTATAACGCACCAGAGGTTTCAACCTTTGGCGTTGAAGACGGAATTGATCCTGGCCAAGGCTTCAAGTACTCTTATGTTGGAGCTCATGGATGTGATCCGTCTGCAGGTTTCGGCATAGCATCGGACTCCTTATTCGTCCTTCATCCTGGAGTGGAAGTATCGAAGGTTCTCATGCAGAGTATCCCACCACTGAATTCAATTGCCAGGGAACTCTTGGAGATGTGAGCTCGCATACTCTTCAGACGATCTTCTCTCGCGTGCTGAAGACTCCAAAAGGACAACAAGGAGTCATTGTGGTCCCACAGACCTTCAGCAAGTTCTCCCATCATAAACTGACTAGTCGTAATGTCTCAGATGAACAAAGGATTGTTGCACGGACAGGTGCAGTCAGTGGTCCTGAGCGATGGACAATGCATGCCGAGCATTCAGTGATCCGTCTCTTTGCTTTTGCACGAGCATTGTGATACACAATTAGCTCAACTATTCTTCCCTGCAATGCAGCAGTGCCGTCTGACTTTTGTACTGCCGTCATGTCTCCTGAAAAATAATGACTCTTTGCTGTGCGAGTTCAATGATGTGCTTGTGGTTCATGTAAGCGCAGAAGTCAGCTTCGTCAGTTATTGGAGACAGATTGATCTGACTCCCCGAACATGTGCAGGTCAACGATCGACTTCAACATCGTCTCGGTCTTAATATGCAGCAAAGTTGCTTTCCCCATCTTTCTCCTGGCTTGTCTCTCCTCCCTTCTCTCCTCTGTCTCTGCTTGACTAGGGCTGTCTGCATTTTGCTTACTGGGATCAAATTCCACCAGACCTCGGTAGGGAATCAACTAGCAACTTTTGCAGACATGGATCGACGAAGCAGATCTTCTAGAGGCTCTCCTCGACATGTTCCGCGGTCAGAACGAAGCAGTCACACGTGGCGATCATCAACGATTACTCCACAGATGTCTACTCGGCCACATAGAACCAGAGAAGATAGCCGATCCAGACCGTCACGTCCTGCCATCTCCCGGAACACCCAAGAACAACTGAGGCGACGAGGTTCGACCATGTTTGAAGCTGCTCGAAGGGCAAGATCTCGCTCTCGTCAGGACCATTCGTCCTCCAGAAGAACCTACACACCTCAAGAACACCGACATCGAGATTCTCCGGACCGAGTAAGGACAACATCTTCAAACAGTTGGCGACGATTTCTTCAAGAAAGGGCCGAAGAAGCACATCAGTTGCCTAGTTCATTTCGATCCGATCGCTCCTTCATCGACACTACCACCACCTATGGCTACTCCTTGCCTCGTGCAATTGTTGCCTCTGAGTTTTCGCGAAACATAGGCATCGACGGCATGCCGTGTCATCTGGTACCAGTGGCAACATTGCTTCATCAAGGACTTGCAGGTTGGCCGATGCGGTTGATAGCCTCAGGGAAACCAGTGTCGATCGAGGTCTTTCGTAGCAGACAAGAGGCAGTTTTCCACTCCTTGTTGGCCAAGAGCATGCGTGATTCCATTCCCAAGCTTGAGGTCAACCATATGGTTAAGTGGGCACATGACAACCATGCTTCAGAGATCAACCATCAGGGCAACAAGGACCTCACGGACTGGTCATACCGATTCAAGTTGATCGAGTTCCTGACTCAACGAATCGCCAACGAGATGGTCAAGTTTGTTCCTCAAGCTGAATCATCATCTTTGCTTCAGAAGTTGCAAAAACTTCAAGCGGAAAATGATCGGTTGAAACAATCCATGTCGGCACCAGCTACATCCTCAGACCTTCCAGCAGCGGCAGGTGTTTCTTCAGAGAATCAGCAGTTGGTCGACCAGTACAAGATCTTTCAGCGTCGGCAGGATGAAAACCAGACATTGCAGTCAGGCCCCTCCAGCACTTCGGCACAATCCATCAACGGATGGATTCGCGCCAAGATGTCTACCCAAGAAAAGAAGAACAAGCATGCAGCTCTGACCAAAGAGCTTGTAGAACTCTTGCAAAAAGCACCGGCAGGAGTCTTACCGGATCGAGCCTCCACTTTGGTCGAATGGGGCCTAGACATGGAGGCTGCATCGCCCATCAAGAACAATGCCAACTTAGTCAACAAGCTCATTGCGGCTTGTGTGACTTTGAGAGAGTGGCTACTTGATCGAGTGGGTCAAACCACTCGATCAACTTTAAGCAAGCAACTACGACAGTGGCTTCGTAGAGTACTGCCAGT